CAGATATTATCTTTTATGCCAGTCTGCACGCGTCTCGTGTCAAATTCATTTTTTGAAACAGAAGCGTTTAACGAATTATTAACCTTTTTTTCTGGAACATATTCTCGAAATTCCCTCAAAATCTTGATCCTCTAAGATCTTATATGTTCTGAAGAAAAGCTGCCTTTCTTCGTGGGTTTATTTCATGGAACACTGAAGTATACACACGCCTTAATATTCTGAACGTATCGCACACTGTTTGTTTGTTTGTTTGTTTGTTTGTTTGTTTGTTTGTTTGTTTGTTTGTTTGTTTGTTTTGGTGTTTTGCTCGCTCTTTACTTCGCTTTCTACCTATTTTTTTTCAAGAACGTTTTGAATTCTCGATTGGAGTCCTCCAGTGTCCTTGTCTTCCAATACAGCTGCGCTCTGTTTGACATTTTGCGAACGGCTTGAATTTGCAAACTTTTTAAAATCAATTTTAAAAATCACAAGTTTATGAAAAGAAAGACAGACAGAAAGAAACATGAAAACTGTAAGCAGAAGTATGTCTTGCACAGCTTTTCGTGCAGTCTGCAAAAGAAAAGTGTAGCCTCACTTTGTAATTTAGAACCTTAAGTTCCCCTTTCATCCCCTTTAGCTTCACGTACAAAATTAATGGTCAGGAATCAGGAGATCTCTTCGACGCTGATGTCAATTTTAAATGAAAGCTTGGTTTTTCTGAAGATTTTATTCTAGGTCTAATTTTGTGGTAATAAATATTTCATTTGAGACTTGGAATAAAATAGAAAAAATAAACGAAAAACACATATTTATCATTATTGTTTTGTGTGGAAAGGTCAAGCGCCTTGTAACTTTTTTTTACGATTTGAGTAAAACCCTTCATCCTTCCGCCCCCCCCCCCCCCAAATCCCTTTTCTCTTACGCAATAGTGAAAGAAAAACAACAACCCTCAGTGTTTGTTGACAGACATGTATACTTTTAACACCAATTACAAAGCTGCCGGGCTATTTAATCACGAGGAGTGATCACCTCCGAGTTTAATGTCCGTCTCAATTTAGACCGCGCGAAACTGGAAACCAAAAAGAAAAAAATTATGCGCAACGTCGGCCCAAGCTGAGGTTCGAACCCATGAACCCGCAGTCTCAAGAAAACGGATCAGGTAGCTTAATCACTCGACAGTCAAGGCCACCAATCGACTGGATTATAGAGCTACTTAATGATACTTACTTCTACTTCTACTTTTTCATCCTCTGTTGCCGTTAAGCGTCGCGGGGAGATGCAGTTTTCTATTGTAGGCCAGCTCTGCAGCTCTTTCAGTTGTGATGTTATGTTTTCTCTGGGTTTCCTTAACAACCTCGATCCACCTTTTGCGTGGCCTTCCTCTTCCTTTATAGCCTGGGTGCTTGGTGTTGTAAGCTCTCGAGGCTAGTTGGCCATGTGGCATACGTTACAGGTGGCCAAACAATTGTATTCTCTGTTTTTCTATGCAATGCAGGCAGGTCTCAATACCGATAGCTGCTCTTACTTCATACATAATAACATTACACCAAAAGAATGCATTTATACATCTATCTCTCGGGTTAAGCTATAAGGACGCAGCAGACACATTCATTATATCGTCGATCAGCAACAGATGATGGTCAGTGTTGTTACACACTTCAAACCACGATATGCAAGCCAGAAACACAATTTGGAACATGTGAAAAAATGCCATTTTACGTTTGAGATAAAGAAAGAAATTTAGAAATAGTATGAATAACGAACCGACTTTTGGGTTTGTTCGGGTCTTTATTATTTTCTGTTTATTTGTAGACAGACATTGTCTAAAGAAACAGCCCACAAACAATCGTCCTTTATAGAGCTTCTATTATGTGCAGCATAAGGGGCTGGCCTTATACCCCAAAGCCAAAATAGCCGTCTGTTCCTCGACATAGAAGATATGTTCAAACAAATATAGGGCGCTGTGTCCTGGAACTTTAGAAAAAAACCCCTGCTTTAAGAAATATTGGTGAAGCCTGCGGACAAAATGAGTTATTTCTTGGATTCAAGCCTAAAGGAAATAGAGAAAGCATGCTTAGAGGTGAAGTTTTTACAATTTATAAGCATGAAATAATAAAAGACAGGTAGTAGTTAAAAAATATATGGCATCAATAGAAAGTCTACACATTTCACTCAAATTTCGATTTTTTGGCCAATATCTCCATTATTTTGTGGATTGCGAGAAGTAACTCATTTCGTCAGCACACAGCACATGAATAATGCACGTGGCAGACTATAAGTGCAGGTCTTGAGTCGTTCTGGAGCCTTTCTCCCCAACCATGTGGGTCAATACACCACCCTCTCAAACCCCGAAAAAAAAAATACATAAAAGTAAAATGAAGTAAAAAAAAAACAACTTTAAAAAAAAATGAATATAGCAGATAAGCCTAAATTTAAAAAAATAATCCCCCCCCCCCTCCCACTTACAAAAATAAAAAGTAAAAAACAAAAAACAACAAAAAAAACCCCGAAAGGAAAGTTCAATAACGCATATTCATCAGAAACAAGATCTACTTTTATGGGCAGCTCTGTGCTTTGTCACTGCGCTTGGCTCAAAGGTCTTGCCGCTGACATAAAGGATGAAGTTTAGCAATAGGCATCGTGCCGAGTTACTGCTTCTCAAATACTTTGCACTCAATGCCTTTGATCGTAAAATATTTGTTAACGAGGCCACAAACGTTGTATTATACGGCCCAACACAATCGTGACACATCGCTTCATGTGCAAGATCAGAGACAAGGGAATTAGGTAGTATTAAGCAAATTACCCCGCTCGCTTGCAGCTTCTGCAATATTACTCAACTGATTAGCACAACCCCCACCCTCCCCCCTCCAAACCTCCCCAGAGAGTGAAATTAGCCGCTTTGAAGGGGGAAAATAGAGGTGGGGAGGGGAAGGGAGGGTAGGGAGAGGAGGAGGGGATATAATTAAAAACGATGAAAACTAGAGACTTTCATATACTTCTTAGGTATATTAATGATATTAATAATAACAATAATGGTGACAATAAAAATAGCAATAATAAAAATAATAATGATAATAATAATAATAATAATAATAATAATAATAAAATTAAAATAAATAATACTAACATGATATAATGACAATAATATTAATAATAATACTAATAATAAAAAAAATAATAATACTAATAATAATACTAAATAATAATAATAATAATAAAAACAATAGATAGTCGTAATAATGATAATGATAATAATAATAATAGTAATAACAAAAAATAATAACGATAATAATAGTAATAATAGTAATAATAATAATAATAATAAATAACAAAAATAATAATAACAGTAACAATAACAATAAGAATAATAATAATAATAATAATAATAATAATAATAATAATAATAATAATAATAATAATAATAATAATAATAATGACAATAATGATATAGACTAATGATATCCAGACTTGCTCAATCCCATCAAGAGATGTTTGGTGTCGTCACATCAAAAGAACGACAATCTAATTTGCAAAAATTTCTGGTTGAGTTAGAGAATCAAGAATCATTAAGGGGGGGGGGGGGGGGGGTACACCTGGAAGCTATCTCGCTTATTACTGGACCGAATTTTACCACATTTCACACATATAACAAGCATAGTAAGGAGTCTTAAAATCGGCAATCAAATTTGAGAAAAAAGTTTCGTTTCTATGGATACGCCGCCATATTGGATTTTATTGACATGTCTTACGTAATGAATACCGCACTTATCGCTCATGGAAATTGATTCTCTTTTTGCATGCGTGTGCACAAACATTCGATCTAACAATTTCTCTGTTGTTTTTTTCTTAATCGAATTAGAAAATTTTAAATGAATTTTTTCCTGAGGTAGCATTCAAGTTTGCGAAAAATCCGTGAAAAATGGTGGAGTTATTCAAAAAAGTATACGGAAAAGTAGCATTTTGAGAAAACGGCCGATACAGAAAAATAAAATACTGACTTTATGAGGAAATGGCGGTTACAAACATGCCCGGTATGGGAAAAAATACGGTTTTTGGGGGTTCTTATGCCATGAAATAGTTGTAGGAGAGGCTGAAGAAGCTAACAATGCCTACAACTCAAATTCAATGATTTTGAGCCGAATTTTGATTTTGGGGGTGTAGTCCCCCCCCTTAAAGCAAGTGACTTCCGTGAAATATGTATCACCATTGTCCACTATCATTTAACCTTTTGTTTTAGTAGAGGTTTTACGGCGCTCGCAACTGCATAGGGTCATATGAGCGCCAGGGGTGGATGTCAACAGAGAAGTCCAAAGAGGGAATCAGGCTTACTCTGCTCTCCACTCTAGCTTCAACAGCACAAAGTCTGCTTCGACTATCAAGGCACCCCGGAAATAGCAGGTCACAAGAGTGTGACAAACGTACAAAAGAAGTAGAGGAAAAATGACGATAGTTAGCAGTTCAGGCACAGTGTTAAGAGCATGACATTGTTAAATCAGCCCATTTACAATTCTACTGTGCATAAGAAAAGGTTAATGCCCCCCCCCCCTTCTTGGAAATGGCCTAAAGACACTTCAGTCAGTCGCACCACCCCCCCCTCCCTTCCCCCCTTTCACTTACTTTACTTTTTCGATCCAGCGGCCATTTTTGAATTCTCGCCCTCCGGCGTGTCGATATTGCAAGGGATTTACAGGTTTGATCAGCTGTGATTTGTACACCACACCTTTAAACGGTGGTGTTTGAAAGAGATATAATACTTATTCTTAATAACAAGAGCTCTTGTGTGGTTTGCTCCTTCCTTCCTATCAAACACTTGTCGTCCTTATCTTCCCTCCATCTTTTTTGTGTATGTAAATCTCTCTTGTAACGCGTAATCGTATTCTTCGGCACTTATATGGCCTTATTGTGTTGAAAGTGCCGTAAAAATCTTACTAAAACTAACTTCTTAAGAATGAATATACAAGAAATAAAAGACGTCAACAATTATAATGGCAACAAATGTAAAAGAAGAAAAAACTCACTTGAATTTGAGAAAGATGAGCAGCGACAGCAGAAGAACCACCAAAGACACGGTGCTACCGATGAAAATAATCATGGACAAGGTGCGAGCCGCCTGGAGAGGAAAAAAAGGAATGTAAGTGGATTAAAGAATAGCATTTATTATGGGTTCTGGCCATTATCAAAGATCCTACATAACAAGATAGTTCACTCAGCCAAAAAAATGTCCACGGAAGTCCGCGCATTGGTTGAGATGGTGCTGCAGTCTTTGTTTTGAAGCTATCTTTTGTTTCACCAGAAAAGGAATAGGAAAAGCACAGTTTTTTAGTTTAGCTTTTATGGGTTTTTTTCCCCTTTAAAAAAAAACACAAGTAGGGTAATTCATATAGCAAAGTCCGCACTTTTTCGAAGAGGGCGCTACCGAATTTTGGGGACACTTTTTAAAATTGGCTCAAATAGAGAAGTGAACTATCTAGTTATACACCATCCTTGCCATTATCCCGAAATGTTCTAAATTCACAGTAATCTGGTGTGAATCTTCAGTTCTTCTATGATGAGGCTAAATAAAAATGTAAGCTTTGTAAAGATCGTCTTTTATCAAGGGGTGAAAACGGGTTTTCCAATCACCTTCCACTTTTTTTCACACGCACACACGCACGCATGTGCGTCCACACATACATAAACACATACATACATACACAAACACACACACACACACACACACCCACACACACACACACACCCATACACACACACACACACACACAGGCACTTGTGAA